GAGACTGCTCCAGCAGCAGTCCCTGTTTGTTGTGGGCGGGGTGGCTCCGTGTGAGCGGGGACCAAGCAGTCCCAACCTGCGCTGATCACTGCGCCTCTGCATTTTAAACGTAGTAAGAGCCCGGCGGCTCTTACTACACTTACAATGCAGAGCTGCGGCATGGGTGGCTTCTGGAGCTGGCATTGAGCTGTTTCCTGGACTATATGATTAGCCTGATAACTGCATTTTTGTGTGTGTGCGTATGCGCGCACCCTCCTCCACCTCCCGACTCCCCAGCGTGTGTGTGCTTGTGCACCAATGGCACAGTATGCCTGGCCATAGGGGGGTGTGCCATCCCTTGTTGGAGGTGGCACATGTGCACACTAAGAGTGAGTGTGCGATGCCCTGCCGGTTGGGAGTGTGCCATCTCACTATAAATGTGCCACTATAAATGTGCCATCTCCTTGCCTAGTGCAAGGATGTGCATGTACCTGATCCCCCAGTCATGTGTGAGAGAATGTGTTCATGCACCATCTGCCAGCCTAGGGTGTGTGATCCCCTGCTGCATGCATGTGGGTGCCAGCCATCCTCTTCCTTCTGAGTATGGGAGTGTGTAATCCCCCCACTCTGTTTTGTGTGGATGTGTGAAATCCCCCACCCAGCATGAGTATTGGGGGGGGTTCATCCCTCTTCTCCAATGTTGGGAGCTAGGCCAGGCAGCTGGGCCTGGGGGAGGGGTGATGTCTCCACCTAATGGGGGGGCTGGGATAAGCGGTGCCTGTCTTATGTGCAGGGGGAGCAGGCCCTCCCGCTAGGTGTGTAGGAGGAACAGAGCTCAGTGTGACCTCATCTTTTTCTCCTGGCAGCACTAAACCCAACCCCAATCAGATCATCTCAGTAGGCTCCAAGCCTGGCATGAACGGGGCCGGCTTCCAGAAGGGGCTGACCTGCGAGAGCTGCCACAGTGAGTGCTGACAGCTCTCCAAGGGGTCTGAGGGTCTGGGCCCCGTTCTAGGGGTGGAGGGCCCTGACTGCTGCCATGGATCTTGCCCCAGGGAAGGGGCATGGATCTTGCCCCAGGGAAGGGGCATGGATCCTGGGCTGGCCTGCCAGCAGCTGTTCAGCTCTGGAGCCCCCTCCACCTAATGTTGTGGTCTCTCTACACTCTTAGCCACCCAGTCAGCACAGTGGTATGCCTGGGGCCCGCCCAACATGCAGTGCCGCCTCTGTGCCTCCTGCTGGATCTACTGGAAGAAATACGGGGGGCTGAAGACACCGACGCAGCTGGAGGGAGCTGCCCGCAGCGCCACGGTATTGGACAGGACGTAGTAATAAAGCCTCCTGGGGGCCAGGGCACACAGGGCACCACATGCAGTGCTGTGGCAGTCCCTGCTGGAGTGGGTTGGCGTGGGTGGGGCCCTCAGTGCCTTGGGGAATACCTGCTGGGGTTGGTCAATGGCTGTGCTGGATGCTGTGTAGGGGGACAGGGCGTTAGGGAGGCTCATGTTCCTTGTGACCATGCAGTGGTGTCCATGCAGTGAGCTCTGGGTACTGTCAGCACTTGAGTCTGGGGCTCCTCCATCCTTACTGTACTGGGCTGGGTCCCTTCCCCAAGCTCTCCCAGTGCCCCATGCTGGGCCATGACCCACCTTCCCTTCTGTGTAACAGGAACCACATTCCAGGGGCCACATGTCGAGGCCGGAAGCCCAAAGCCTCTCGCCCTACACAACTAGCGCCAACCGGGCCAAGCTGCTGGCCAAGAACCGCCAGACCTTCTTGCTGCAGACCACCAAGCTGACCCGCATTGCCCGCCGCATGTGCCGCGACATCCTGCAGCCACGCCGTGCTGCCCGGCGTCCCTATGCCCCTATCAACGCCAATGCCATCAAGGCTGAATGTATGTGGGCAGGGCTGGGAGGGAGGACACCATAGGCATCCCCCATCTCACCTGTTCTCTGCTTCCCTCCATAGGTTCTATCCGCCTGCCCAAGGCAGCCAAGACCCCCCTGAAGATACACCCCTTGGTGCGGCTGCCACTGGCCACCATTGTCAAGGAGCTGGGTAAGGCCCATGGTTGTAGAGCTCTGGGCACAGCAGGGAGGTAATCGTGATGATTGCCAGTTGTGTTCCCTCCCTCTGGGGCATCTGGCATTGGCCACTGTCGGCAGACAGAATACTGGGCTAGATGGACCTTTGGTCTGACCCGGTATGGCCGTTCTTATGAGAGCCCAGCTGGGCAGGACTGAGGCCTGGCTCCCCATGCTCCACACCAGCCCTTTTTCCCCTCACGAATGGGGGTTGACTGACCAGACAGCAGTGCCCTTCACTTGAGCAGGGTTGTTGCTCACATGTTCTTTGAGTGCTTAGCTGTGGACCCCACTCTAGGTGCATCTGCTTGAGATTGGATGCCCTTGCATGCCCCCAGCTGTGGGAGTGAAGGGCAGCC